GAGGGGGGGCGAGGGGGGGGGGGGAGACATGGTTGTGACCGTGTCATTTTAAAATAAAAGATACCTTTTTGTTGCCGCTTGCTTTGCGGTCCCGACTGATAACACTGCGACGAAACGTCCGAGACTTCGCAGCACACGCCTTCGGATGACGATTCTCGTATTGGAATGCTAGCACAAATAATACTAATAAAAATAATAAAGCTGAGCAGTGGAGAGGGGTGGAGATCCCTTCCATCGAGCCTCGATTGCTCCATTTATTAATCGTTGCGATCGGTGTATCTCGAGGAAAGAGAGGGGAAAGCGCCGCTTTTTCCTTCCAAATTTGTTTACGCTTGGGTTTTCGTCAACCACTCCCGAAAACCGTCAAGATTTTTTAGTCACTCGTCGGCTGAGCGCGTAAACAAGGGTTGGATTACTTTTCGCTTGCACGGCGTTTTCGGTGAATTCTCGCGAGGAGCCACTGGCGACATCTAGACGCGGATTTCGGCAGCTCGGTCGAATGTGGGAGGAGCGGTGAAAGGGTTAAAAGTCGCAGAGATTCCACGGAGATAAGGGGGTTGTCGCGACGGTGCTTTATATGGTTCCCTTTCGCTCGCGACGGATTTGGGAATGCTTAATGTCGATGGTATCTCGAGATGAGCAAGCACGATGAGCAAGCATGATGAGCAAGCATGACGAGCAAGCATCTCGTCCCTCGCAGGTGCAAGGTGGCGATGGACTCGGAGTTCCAGAAGCAGCAGAAAAGGGCCAAGGAGCTTTCTCGAACTCTGCAGCGTATGGCACGTGAGTGGCTTCAGAAACTTGAGAGGCTTAAAGGAAGCTGCAAAAATGCAATTTGGGCGGGACATCATGCCGGTTTTCCTCGTCTTGCCTCTTGTCGCAGCGAAAATATTACGGAAATATTTAATAGTTACCATTCAGTTGGCAGATGATGTGAATTCAAGCAATAACTATTTTCCAAGCAATATTTACAACTCAAGCCGTCCCAAAGTCGAGGCAACGTCTGAATTTTGAGCCCGAGTTTGCATTTTTCACCATCATTAGAAATTCATCGAGCACGAAAGGACATCAGGAAAGATTTTTTCCGCAGAGGAAGCGCATCACCCGAGACCCGAGAAACGCGAAGAGACGGAGACGGACAGGGAGACGGACAAGGAGACAGACAACGACGCGGAGGAGGACTGGGACATGGACTCGTACGACGTGGAGGGACCGGAGTCGCCCGCGTCGCCGAAGGGGGAGTCGGAGATGTCGGATGGCCCTCCCGAGGACGCGGAGAACGGGGAGGCGGGTGGAGGCAAAGGGGAGGGGGAGGAGGAGGATGATGATGACATTATGTGTCTTTGAAGACTTTTCAAAAGCCTTATTTGAAACGAAGCTCACTCTAGTCTGGGATGTAAGTGTAGCAAGCTGTTGGATAGAAGGATTTCTTTCTTTTTCAACATGAGAAAGTTCTGGAATGTACCTTGAATGTTACCCGAAGGCCCTCAATCTTCAAGGCAAATATAATGGTAGGCAATTTGAATTTGAAAAAAAAAAATTACATTGGAATTGCTGCAGTCTCCAAGAAATGGAAGATCTCAAAATATCTTGAGACTGCCAAGGTTGCTAAATGTTGTGCCTCCGAATGTCAGAGTAGGTCTTTAATAATTGGGCAAATTCATCAGCCTTGGAATGTCACAGCCTTGTATTCCTGATGAGGATCCTGCTATCATTGGCAGTTAGAGAATGTGCTTATACATTTGGTAGAGGTGATCCCTAGACATGAAAGCTGTCATATTAATATTATTACATAGCTGAGTACAAAGTACCAAGTACAAAGGAAGCAAGAGGAGTAAGTTCAATCATTCAAATATGCCACTCCCTATGTCCATTGCTGAATGCAGTTTTTCCTGCCCTGTTCAAGCTTCATCAGAGTCTGATTCTTCTTGGAAGACCATCAGGCTGATGATTCTGAGACTGGAAGCCTTTTTCCTAGCAAGGTCTTACAGGGACAATTTCTTTTGGGAGTCAAAAGTTGTCCTTTATTTCATGCATCTTTCTGCAGTTGCTAAGGCATTAGACAAGATGATGACGAAGACCAATTCTCAGTCTAGTATTTCAGGGCAAGAAAAATAGGCATACCTTTATTGATAATCCATTAGATGTTCATGTAAAATGCAGATTTCTTCCCATTAAATTTCCTGCACAAGGAAAAAGGGAGACATTAGGGAAGGGAATGGTTAATATATTATTAATGAAATTTCAGGTGAGAGAGGTTCTCAATGAGGGAAAAATTCCCAATGAAGACACTTTGGTCCACTTATGTCTGAATACATAGTTCTAGCACTCCAGTTTTGTCCTTTTATGTGCAATGAGCTGACTCCCACCTTCAAATGAACTCAAAAGAAAGCTTAAAGCTATATGAATCATGATGTGAGTTACTTAACACTCACTCTTGCTAGGACTCAGTGACTCACAATTGTAATTTCATCTTATGGTCACTCAGCAGGGGGCAATATGGCAATCAAGGAGTTTAACTTGATTTTCTACGTGGAATTCAGGCAAGATGACAAATGTTTCTGAGCACCCTTAGGAGTTATATCAAGTGGGGGCACCTGTACACTGAAAGCATGGTAGTTCCAAAATTACCCTCTGGCAAATGCAAAGAAAACCCAGACTCCTGAGAAATTGTAGACAGAATGATCTTGATTCTTGAAAAGATGTTACTATCGAATGCAAAAAATGATAGCCCAATGTAATAAGCCATACTTTCAGTGTTGTTCAGTGAAGATCTGGCCTTTGTCATGATGCTAATGCCCTTTTGGAGTGGTTATAGACCAGTTCAAGGATGATAATTTTTGAGGCAGGCAGAATCTTCATTCTCCCAGAATCAGCATTCTCCCTTGGGAACTTTTGGAAGCTTCTATTTCTTCAGTATAAATGACATTAATGGTTTGGATACTGAATCAGCTGTCTAGTTATCATCGGTCCCATTGAAACTTTCAGGGCCCATTTGCTCAACATGTAATACCTGATATACATTTCAGACAAGTCATCCTCCTTGTGACTAGACTAGATTGGGCTGATATGATGTGCAGGCACCTTAAAGGCTTGAACCATTGCTGTCTGGTGAGCATGAACCAATATTATTACATGTAATGGCACCTGTTTCCAATATTATTTTACCTTTTCAACTTGGTGCAAACTGGAGCATAGCAGAATGAGCATGAACTTGTGTCAAAAAAGGGTCAGTTCTGATATGTGACTTTTGTTGAATAAAGGTTATTCATTGAGGAATCATTGCATGGAAATAAATCAATGAATTTTATGCAAGAACAACAATTTCAGAGGGAAGACCATCTGCCTTTCATTAGGTTGCAAAAAATGAAAATCAGCTTCTTTAAAGCCATAGATATTATATTCCTTCTGTATGAAAGAGTTAGTCACAGATTGATACGTCTTTGTTCCTTCAAACCTGTGGAAAGTCTTTCAACATTCAGCCATCACCTTACAAATCTCAGATCAACATCATCTTTCTGATATGCTTTCAAAGCATCTCCATAAATTCCATGGATTTTGTGATATAAGAACTTGAAGAAAAACAGGAGATTGTCATACTCCCCAGTGTAGGGTGGGAAATGAATATTGTGGATTTCCTTCATGGTGTAATAGATGGCTTCAATGGTTGACAAATGTGTGGAGGGTTTCCCGTGCTGGTACCTCCAAAACACAGTTTGCACTTCAGTGATCTTTAGCATCGGGAGGCGAGCGATGCGTTCGTCGTTTATGATGCGCTTGGTTTGGTTCCATGTGCTGTCTATGAAGATAAGTCTGTCAAAGGGAAGGATAGGGGCATTATCACATTCAGATGAAACTGTTGGTCTTGCTTTCTCCAGCAGTTCACTCAGTGGCTGTGACGATGCCGATGGGAACAGAACGAATGTTCTTCCGTCCAGAGGGTAATCGGGGAACGTGGGGTAAGTGAAGAGCCTCACTTGAGATGGAGCCAGGATGACAGCATGACAAGCTGTGCTTTTGCCTTCCACTTCTAGTGGGTGCTTGATGATGTCCACTTGTACCGGTAGGGTCACTTGAGGCAGTTTCTCTTGCAGAAATGGGAGAGGCACACAACACGTGTAGCAGAAATACATTCTTGATTTCCCACATTTAGGACAAGGTCCACGACTCATTGTAGTATTCAGAACATCTGTGGAAACCACCTTTAGTGATTGGAAGGGATCAGCCTTCCTATCACTTTTCAACTCGCCCCTGGAAATCATCTGGCATGTTGAGAGAGAAAGAAAATGTGACTGATAACTTGTAGGAATGATGTGAAGTGGTCATAGAGCCTAAATCAATAGGGAATGTAAATGTGAATCAGGAAAAAAATAGGGTTAGCTTAGTTAATGCTTTGCTGTCTGCATTTTACATTCAAGTCATGAAACTGACTCCCTCATAATAGCTACAATCTCACTAAACATACTTTGCCATTCACATTAACAATTAAAAACCAAAACACCAAAGGACTTTCAAGGTGCTTTGTACTTGTACCAATCCATTAATAGGGAATTATAAAAGCAAGAAATAATATAAAAACAAATAATAAAAGCAAGAAAGAAACAGACAGGTTTACTGGCTCTGATGTCAAGCAGAAGCATAGGTTGAATTTAGGTAATAAAAAAACTTGAGCTGGGTTGGATGCCAACAAACACAAAAAAGACAAGGCTGACATATACCCACACTAATTCTAGCCACAGCATTCAAGAGATGAGAATCTCCAATCCCCACTTGACCGACTGTGATAATACAAGACTTTTACACCCTCCCAACTCCCACTTCCCTGGCGCTGCTATCCAAGGGGCTGGAGGGACACCGATATCGGCATACCGATATGGGGGGGGGGAAAGGAGACATAATCCGGAAACACTGAAGTCCTATTATTAAGAGTTCTAACGTTATACTGAGCGATGTTAAACTTTTCCCATGTATGAAACTCTTCCATATGCGCTCCATTATTTATAATATTACCTACATCGCTATTGTTTTCCTCTGAACATAGGAATACGACTTTGTCTCGTGAAAACAAAAGCTGTTTTGAATGACACGTGTTCCCTCCACACTCGCAATTATCCCTGACTGCGCCGCCATGATCTAACGCTGTCCAATCGCAAGGGCCTGAATGGCGAGCGTCCGCTAAACATGGCGCGGAACATGATTCATTCTCGTCTTACCGGCTGCTTTATATACAGACCTAACGTTTCTCTGTTTTCGGATTGAATTTGAACCCCAAATAGGAGTGGTTTCATCATGGATTTTCGGATGATCCGATAGGCGGATCCTCGAAATAGTGCTCTCTCTGTCTTCCTCTACCCAGGGATGTACGAATTCAATCCGATAAATGTATACCTAAGTCACTGGATAAGCTAAGCTCATAAGGCCACAGTTACCTCTATCATAGATTGGGTTAAATCGAGGAGGGTAGGGTTAGAGATGGTGGTTCGATGTGAGAGTCATGCTTGATTCTCAATTTCATGTGCAGAACGAAGTTGAGTGAGGTTTTGGTTCAAATTTTGGGCTCATGATGATTCACGGAGTCCAATGTCATTGTTTTCTTGAGGTTGTCATTGGAGTGGACGCGAAACAGCCCTCAAATATACCAAGCTCATGATTATTCCAAGCTGAGGATGAATTCCTCGGTTGAAATTGAAGTTTTGAGCACAAAAAGTACAATCCCCAAAAATGCAACATTTTCTTGGTAAAATTTTCTTTAAAAAATCCACCAAAATCTTGAAAGTTGAATGGGCTCAAAAGGAATGAAATGTCCAAAGAAGACCTTCAGTCAACCTTTGAGATTGTGTCCACTTTGCCTAGTATTACTTCATGTACCATGGCTAAGATTTTGAATCTCCAAACAAAAATGCTGACTCCTATTTTCCTTATGAGGAAATATTTAGTGGAGTGTTTAGGTGAAGTAGTGAAAAATTATTCCTCACAAGTTTTGCATAATTTACATATCACCTTATCTAGCAGTCAGATTACAGCCTTCTGTATGCATCTGCTGCAGTCTGTGATTCATACAGGCCCTCATTCTCTGTCTGACTCGCATTATCTAGGTGTATGCTATTTTCCAAGACCTAGGGAAAATCTTTGTCTCAGTTTGGCTCAGGTGGAGTTATTCCTATAGGTCAGAATGAATCATGAGTAAAACTACTGAGAAGCAGTTGAGGGAAACGGTGTTGGAATATATGTGCCAACAGAATCGCCCTTACAACATATCAGACATCTCTCAAAACCTCCATCTGGAGCAAGGCAAGGCAGCATTGCAGAAAGCTTTGGATCATCTTGTTCAGGTGAGTTGTGATAGGTCTATTCGTATTAGGATTTTACTTTCTTGGGTAATGGTGCTGTTGTCATAGTAATTTTCAAGTGCAGTGAATTTGGTTCAGATTTCATGGAGAGAAGTTCATTCTTTCTTATTATGAATTTAAATGGAAAGGAAATTTTGCATATTTGTGTTCTTCAGTAGGAGAGAACACTTACATAAGATTCCATGAAATCCCTGTCTGAAAAAGCACTAGGAAGGTAATAGCTACCCAATGCTGGTTGGCAATATTGAGGAATATTTAATCAGGGGACTCAACATCATCATGGCATCAATTTTATATGCCTAGCCTATATTGTGTTGGATTGGTTGTACCTCTACCTCCCAGCTTATGATGGGTCTTGAGCTCTGGGGTATTCAATGTGAAAGATAGAATTGGTTCTTTTTTTGGAATACACACTCCTTCCACAGGGAAGGAACCACCAAATTTCAATTGGGGCTCTCCAATTCATCAGCGGATCTTTACTGTGAATTTCATTGTAGTAAAAGTTTGTAATTGTTATCCTTGTTAGTTATCATCAGGTAACAATGCCACTACCATGAGGCTGAAACCCAAACCATCGGTTCTTGCCTGGTTTCTTTTAATTATACTATACTGACCCTAGGGCACCCTGCTGAGCCTATAAGTTGATCTCTCAATGGTGGATATTTTTCATGTAAAATGAGTCCAAGTAAACCAAGTCCAAGTAAAGTAAAGATGTAGCTCACTGTAAGAAGCATTGTTATGGTCACTATTGCATCTGGGACCCAATGTCGTCTAGGCTTGACCTATGCCTAAGCCAACTCCCTGTCATGGCAAGGCCTAATGTGAATATTAGACATATTCTTTTCTCTATAACATGTCCAGGTTGTGTTACATTCATAATACCCTGTCTCGTTTGGCTTTTTTGCTGAGCATAGATGGACAGGAGCTTTTCATTTGAGAGTATGCTTCATTAAATGTTGGGTATACTTTTGAAAAGTTATACTCAGTTCAATCAGTTCTATTCAGCCCTCTTGATTGGCTCAGATGGGCCCTGGATTTTACTTAACACCATGTTGTGTAGCATGAAGCCCAGGCCTCTCTAGTTAGCCTCTCATGCAAAGGCCTATTTTAAAGCTTTTTAGAGTATAACAAATAAAACCATTCTCCAGTATATATTTTTTGTTCACCTATATCTATGCAGGATAACAAGCTGAAAGAGAAGACATACAATAAGCAGAGAATATATGTTGTCAACCAAGATATCTTGAAAGACTTGGGGAAAGGAGATGTTGGAGGAATTGATGCAAAGATCAGTGGTTTGGATTTGGAATACAAAGCAGCTTTGGAGGACTTGAAGAAATATGAAGTTGAATTGAAGGCAATTCACAAGGTCATTTCCATATCAGAGGCCAAAAAGCAGTTGCTTGAGGTAAGATCTTGCCTTTCCTCCTCTTCCTTCAGTTGCACTAGTACCTGTCTAGAATACTTGCACCAACAATGATGTCGTTCTTGACCATAAAATAAGTTTATCAGCTTTTCTCTATCTTGAATTGCATTTTGAGTACATGTAAAGAATTCCTCCAAGTTTGACTAGCTATGTTAATGGTGAAGGTTGTATCAGCTGACAGCTTGGAACTCTACTCCTCCCTTTTTTTCCCCCTTAATCCTTTCTTAGACCAGTCCATCCACTAATATTCAGATAATTTAACATTTCTGGGGCTAGTGGTTGTTGGAAGCTTAAGGACACTTGTAAAGTTTTTTCATAAAACAATTTCCCTTCATCTTGAATTTCCCAGGTATTAGTGATTTGTCTATACACTTTTGTAAAATCCTCTTGGATATTGTGAGTGGTTTACTTATGCTCCAATTGTTCCTTGTGCTCTACCTTTGAACTTAGTGGTCATCTGTGACCCATGCAGTACATGTCTTTGAAATTTGCAGGCAATCAAGCAAGAATGTGAGAAATTGACCTTAGGAATCCTCAGATGATGTGAATTTGAAGATAAATGATTTCTATGTGAATCTTCTGAGAGCATGGTTCGGCAATGAATATGGATTCACTGCACTGAGTACCTTGTCCAGATATGTGCCTCCTTAGGGAGATCAGTTGAATCACTTCTGAATGGTTTTTAGCATGCAAGGAGCATTCCTGAACTCTTGCACCAGAAATTTCAAGCTTATTTTTGTTCCTTGTGGTCTATTTTTCCATTGAGCTGAGGCTAAGGCCATAGCTACCAAAATAATTGTAGAAGTTCTCCATGATAGACTGGTTATGATATCTCTGTGAAACTTAATTTAAAGGGTATTTGGAATCACTTCTGGATTACCCAAGAAAAAGGAATAATCTTATTGCTTGTGTAAGACTTCACTTGGTTGATTGTACTACCTCATTCATATTAGCCTTTTAAATATGATATGGATATTGAACTTCAGTGTTAACTAGTGCATGATTGGATATTAAATATTACAATTTCTCTTATTCATTTAGTCCTTTAAAAAATGTTTAAAAAGCACCAAGCAAATTATTGGGTCATTCCATAAGTAATGCGGTTTTTCCAAGAAGCTTGCAATAAACCAATAACAATTGGTAATGGTATATAGGCATGCCTTTGAAATAAATACTGACTTGATACTAACTTGTCTTCATTTTCATATCAAATTTTGATAAGTGTACATCAATTATTCTGTCTTTTCAGAGAGTTTAAAATGAAAGTGACAAAAGAACATATTCGGCATATTATGCTGTACGAGTACAGTAAAGGCAATGCAGATGGCTACCATAGATGATGTCAGAACTGTATTGGAGGGGTTTTTCGAGTCCAAGCCAAGGGAATTTTACAAGAAGGATATAGAAAGTTTACCAGAAAGAAGGGAAAAGGTTGTGGAGAATGAGGGAAAATATATTATTGCTTAAAGGTTGTCGAAAAGTTGTTTTATTTTTAATTTAAAAATCTAGAAAAAAAACTGCATTACTTATGGGATGACCCAATACTTGGAGTTGACCTTTGGGTTCTTTGAAGAAGTATTTCTTTGTTTCTTTTCACTTTCTTCTACATCATGGTATATGATTTTGTAAGTTTTTTGTTTCTCTGTGTGGTTTTTTGTAGCAGAGAAAGGGAAAAGGTCAGGCATTCATGTCTTGCCTGCTTGTCTATTTGAGCTCCATTCAGTTGATGGAACCTGGCTCTGGAATTTTTCTGCCTTTCCCCCCTCTTTTAATTGACTTTTTTATTTCATTCTTATGTTTGTCTTTCAATATCAAATATTTGAGCTGTCCAGATTAAGTGTGGGAACAAGATAACTGATATCGGCTGCTACTTTTTCATTTATAACATATGAGATTTTCCTGCTGTGTGAAACATACCTCTGTGAATGAATTTCAGGCATAAGGAGTCATGAAAAGTAGAATTTAAAGTTATTTTTGAGTTTTGAAATGTTGTGTCCACTGAATTTTGCTAGTGACATGTTCATTAAATTTTCTTGCATAATAGGAAATTCATGCTTATTTTTCTTGGTTTGGGAAAAACTGAAAACATTCACTCACCTGAAAATGAAGCTTTAGGTATCACAGGTAAAGCACTTACAGTCATGGGTAAGTATGATACCCTGTCTGTATCATGGTGTTTTGTAGATGAATTGCTTCCTGTGCTCATTCTACTGCTGTTCATTTATATTGTTCTCATTAACCTAGGTCTTGTGCATGCATGTGCTTTCATGCCAGATATATAATTTAGTTTATGGTTTCTAAATGTTTTAGATAATAAATCTTAGCCTATTTAATTATGAGAATGCCAAGGGACCACAGCAGGAAAATCAATTGAGGGACAAATAGGAGCTATTCAGAAGTCCTCCAGGCACCCAATAAGGCTTTAATAATGAAGCAGTTGCTTGAATATATTCTTTCCATTCAGATCATGAAATAGTTTGTCAGAATTCATGAGTTACAGTGAAAGTTTTACACATGTAGGTCAAAGAAGCTATTGGGAAGATGAAAGAAAATCTGGCAGCAATGGAAAAGAAGTCATCAACAGTGACAGCTCCTGTTGTGTCAGAGAAGAAAGAGGACTTGAAAGCAGATCGGGAGAAGTGTGAGCGAGAATGGCAGAAGCGGAAACGCCTCTGTCTTGATGTTCTGGGTGCTATAT